AAATGTCAACCTAGGCTTTGTTATCATTACTTAACTAACTGAGCTAGCTGCATATTAGTCCTGTTCATGAGCAAGTCTTTAGCCATTTCATTTGGATACACTGGTTTTAAACCAATATTTGCAAGTTACTAGGAATATCCACCCTGATGTTGACTCTTTTAAGTACAATGGGGCTTTGACTTTCAGACCACCAGTGATTTAGTTAACCAGTTGTGTGATCAACAAGTGATGTGATTATTGTGATTTAATTATTGGCAGATAGTGTTAGTAGATGACTCATTCATATGTGTGCCCATTATTAGCATCCGTCACCTTCAATTCCAGTATTGCAGACTAGGATGAGACATTGATATTGGTGCTTATTTTCTGTATTTCACTAGTCAATGATCATATTTAACCAAGACTCAGATTTAATATGCTTATTTAGCCAGAGACTTTCTTGCAGTTAGTTAGCAAACCTTATTGATAGATTAGTCTTGTGACCAAGTTGAATAAGAGCCTTAATCAGTATTATTATTTTAGCCAATGTAACCCTTGTTTCTTGTCCTATTGCTAATGTCTAGGTTTCTTTAACTCACTTGGAGACATAGTGAGTGTCCTGACAGTCCCTGCCTCTCTTGAGGTTCCTGGTTCCTGCTACCCAGTACAGTATCACCTGTGGTCAGTAACCTGCTGTGGAACCTTTCTACCAGACCGGTGAGTACCTGGGGTGTTGTTGTGAGGAGGAGTGCTTGGGTGTGCCTGTGGTGTCTATGAGAGTGATGCAACTACACCGCATTAGTGCTATATACATCAGGGTGATCCGTGGACCAGGTAAAGAGTGCTCTTACTGTGCTAGTCTACTGTTAAGGAATCACTGCCATTTCTTATTGTGCTCTCCTTTCCAGGACCTTTATTTGTCTCTGTGCCAACCAAGGCTTCTAGGCTATTGCTTATCTTACTGTAATTTTGATTCCCTTATGTCACAGGTTAGGATGTTCTGTTTAAAATTATTATTTACCCCAAAGTTGGACCATATTGTAAAATTCGGCTCTTGGACGGAATACTGCAGTCACCCCTGAGGGATTTTCCTCTGGAGGGTGGTTGCCTAGCTTATCCTGTGAATGATATTTGGTGCCCTAGGAATTATCCTGTAACAATGGCTTTTGGTTTTGTTGTTAGCTTTAGTATAGTGTTGTTTGGGAATGACCTGTGTTTCATTGTCCCAAATTTGTTCTCAGGGTTGGAGGTAGGCTTAGCTAGGTATTATATCTTAGGGTGATTGAGCTAATCTTCACATAGCTTTTGTGAACCCCTGTTGACCGGACCCCAACAGCGTGAGCATTGGAATCAATCATTGGGCATCAGCTACATCAATCGTAAAATGCATGCATCCATGTCAATCATGCCGCATCATTCACAAAGCTTGAGCGTCGGAATCAATCATTGGGCATCGGCCACATTGATCGTAAAATGCGTGCATCCATGTCAATCATGCCGCATCATTCGCGAAGTGTGAGTGTTGGAATCGATCATTGGGCATAGGTCACATCGATTGCAGAATGCGTGCATCCATGTTAATCATGCCGCATCATTCGCGAAGCATGAGCATCGGCCACATTGATCGTGAAATGCGTGCATCCATGTCAGTCATTGATCATAGAGCGCAGGCGTTTATGTCGATCATTGATTGTGAAGCATGGGCATCTATGTCAATAGATGCTATTGACATAACTATTTCAGACTCTAGATACTTTAACTATTCAGACTCTAGATACCCTAACTACCTGCTTCCCCTATCAGGACTTGGAATTTAGGTGGAGGAAATAACTCTGACTTGTCATATTCTGCAGAAGTTCAAAAAGCTAGATGTTCTGTCAGCACCCAAACTACTGAACCTACTCAGCAAACTGTTGAAGCTAAAATTTCTCTCGCCCAACTGATTGATCTTTTATCTCATGTTCTGTCACCATGCAACAACTCAGATTCCACTGGCAAAAAAGAAACCATTACCAAAATAGCTGCTGAAACTTTCAAACTAAATCCATCAGCTGAGGCCTACTCAAGGAACACTTGTCCTCTCTGCTTGGCGGTGCCAGAAACATCCCAAAACTGGGTCCATCTTGGCTGTGATTCCCAGTGAAGACTTTGCACCTGCACCCTGGAGACAGCAATTGGATGACTCAGACAGACTTACTGAGGATGGGCAGATTACTTCCTTACCAAACCTAGGTGAAGCTATCTCTAAGAAAAAAAAAATCTACTCACTTCACCCTTCTCCTGTAATAGAGGGCAAGCACCAACTTAAGACAATGGGTAAACAGCAGAGGATTTTTCTCAAAGCTGCAGTCACCTCACTTAAGCATAGTCCAGTTGGAGAGCTGAAAATAATACAATGGAATTGCCATAGTCTGTGTAACTAACTGAGTAACTTATAACTGTTTCTGTATACACAAACCCTACATTGTCTGCTTATCTGAAACATGGCTATCAATGGGCTATGAGCCCAAATTTATTAATTATACTACTATTTATAAACATAGAGGTGATGTACAGGTTGAGAGAAGGGTTGTCCTTGGCTGTTCTGGTGAGAAGTGATGTCTCCCTTTTAAATTTAGATCTGGTACCTTATCCACTGAATAACTTAGAGGTTCCACTGAATAACTTAGAGGTGTGTGGGGGGTAAGCTCTTTTGAAGCCTACCAATGTCCCCTTCTTGATTATGAATGTAAACAACTCCTGCCAAAATGTTTCAGTAGCAGAACTAGATCACTATTCCAGCCAACTGGGTCCATCTTGGCTAAATGCTGTTAACTTTAATGTCCACAGTCCAAAGCGGGAACCAAACGAGGCTTGAAACATCACAGGAAAGAGTATGGAGGACCTTTTGCTGTCATCCAAAATAACTGCCTCAGAATAGCCTTCGGCTGTACAAAAATTACACCTGTCATCAATGGGAATAGAAGTAAACTTTCCTCTATTGGCCATTCATGGGAGTGAAATAGTTTACAAATATTTCCTCTGACTTATTCAGCTGACTATGTTGTTTGTTGTTGTAAAGTTATTCCACAGCCACCCTCAGGCTGCACAATGTGGAATACCTTATCTTACTTATTTTGTACTTAATGCCAAATCCATCTTCTCTTCCCTACAGATCACCATTCCAAGGTTACTCACATCTGGGATATCTCAAATGCTGCCATAGTCTAACACCAACAAACATCTGCTAACAGACTTCTCTCCTTCTTCAGTATCATCTACCACCTCACAGGCTGCTCAACAAATTTATGAAAACCTGGTGCACTCCAAATATTCCATCACACTGCTGCTTTCACAGATGGATTATGCATCTTACAACCAGTCCCTTCAGTGTCTGCAGCATTTAAGGTCACTTCCAGGGGCATTTTACTTAACTGGGTACGGTACTTTACTTAACTGGGTACGGTACTTTACTTAACTGGGTACGGTACTTTACTTAACTGGGTACTTAACTATGACCTGAGGTGGAGGTAATAGAGTCGGAGCTGTTTGCAATGCATGTGGCTCTTAACTGGTCACTAACAAATCTTTCTCCTACTGAAAAGTTGTTATATTTACTGAGTCCCAATCTTTCATTTTACTGATCAAAAAGAGTAGACCAGGCAGCTGCTTGTGTCTAATTTTTGAAATCCTAACCAAACTTATGTCACTACTCTCCTCATGAAATATTTTTGCAAGACATCCCTGGGCACAAGGGCATTGGAGGCAACAAGCTGGCAGATCAGGCAGCAGCAGAAGTATATTTTCTGTGGTTATGCAACTTAATTGCCATCTTGAAGGGCGAGCTAGCAAGACAGTTGAATTTTGATATTACGTATGTCAAAATGAAACAGTTGCAGGCTGAACAATATCAGAAATTCAGGGAAGGGCTGCGGCATTAGCTTAATGAAGGGGGAAGTGGGCAATTGGCCATGGGCTCTCAATAAAAATCGTGCTGTGGAGACAGACTGTGCACTGGTCACAATGGGGTTAAAGCACTCCCAGTTCATTTCAACTAAGTTGACAGACTCTTATGTCTTTGCAGGTCTCCTGAAACCATTCATCACCTGCTACTGTATTGTCCAATTCATGCCCCTGCTCTTACTAATTTTACTAATACTTTAACTGCACTTAATATTCTATTCAACTTAAAGCACCTGCTGGGAGAAGGACCTTTTTCTGTTGTCACCCAGGATGCAATTGTTAATGCAGTTGCCTCCTTTTTAATTTCAACTAATATGCTTTGCGTACTATGATGTGAAGTTGAATACTAGCCTGGTATCTTGTTATTTACTCTTTTAACCCTGAGTGTACTAAACTGTAGGAAGTAACAATTTAAATTTTAATTACATACCCCACACTCAACTGCGTGCTTCTATAATGGAAAAAAGAACACTCTATGCAGTTTTAATAGATTTAGGAATGACTAGCTTTGTGTAAGCAGGGAATGCCTTTTATGAGGAGTGCTACTCTTTCCCCACTTTACCAAGCCTTCCCTATGCTCTGTCATAATCCTAATGGTAGGAGATGGTGTTTTGTCAAGTTGTTTTGCAATCAGAATAGAACTTTCTTGTTTTGGCTGTTGAGCCATTGGAAGCTCCAGGCTGCCCACCCCCAGGCTGGACCTTCAGTTAGCTTAAAATTTCATGTGAGGGGCAATTTAGAGCATGGTTATGACTAATATGGGATTAAATATTGATTTGTTTAAATGAATTCAGGCCTGATACCCAACTAGTAGTAGCATGAAATTTTGTATCACATACCTCAGTATATAACAATATCCGCATGCAATTTATACTGTTATGTATAAATGCAATATTTTTCTCTTTCCTTTGTGTCATTGTCTGTTATATTATTGCATTTTCTATTTTATTATTTTAGTGTATTTTTTGTTCTTAATTTTTTATATTACTTTATTTCTTAATTTTCTTTTCTGTTTATTTTTTTGTAATTTTTTCTCATTTTTTTCTGTTTTATTTGCTACTTTTTCTCTTTCTGTTTTCTTGTGTTTTTTTCTTTCTTTATTCAGGTTTCAGATTTTCAGAACTGTTAGGCCCCAATAAAACCCTGTTTAGGCAAGGGGCTTTGTGGACCAGTTTCCAGTGCTCCTATAAGAATATATAAGAAGATATTAAGATAAGGCTCAGCTTGATTCAGTTTAATGAGAGAAAATATTGCCAGCACTCATGCCTGCCTTCAGACCTTTAGAGCTGCTTTTGAAGACCTCAGTGGTGATAAGTGTAAACCCCTGCTTTGAACCTCCAGCTGTACTATTAAGACTTTTGAACTATAAAGATTTGTCAGCTCAACTCTTTACTTGGGAAGATGAATGTTGCTAGGTGTAAGTTGCAACCTCAAATTTCAATCTTTTATCTGAAAATACCTACTGGTTGCAGCTGCTCAAGCAGGGATTGTCATCAAATTGAATGCAACTTTATTGGATAACTTTTTATTTTTCTTTTATTTTTATTCAGTTCTAGATCTGCCGACAAGACCTAAATTGGTGCACATTGTTATGTATGTTTGGCTCTTCAATTTTCTGTTATTCACTCCTAATAAATCATATTTATTTAACAATTTAATTAATTTTAAGCATTTTCTGTGCTGATAAAATTACAATTCTCAAGATTCCTAATGAAACTTCCAGAGTTCCAGTGTAGGATATGAGAGCAGAAAACTAAAGTCATTCCAAGTTAAGTGCTGAAAATATTAAATGTACAATAGCAAGTCATCCACTGTTATCAGTTGCAAAGATCTACTGCTCTGGAAAACCGAAATGTCTAGAAAACGAAAATCTATTGAGGAAAAAATTCAAATTTTGGACAAAGTTCGGTGTTATGATGGTAGGTTAAATTCCTGGCAATTATCTGAAATGTTGAGTTTGAAAAAATCTACTCTAACTCGTCTGTGTAAGAATGAATCCAAGCTCCGCTGTGAAGCAAAAGAGCTGCCCAACATGAGGAAAAGAATAAGGCTTGGCAAGAATAATGCTTTCAAGAATGTTGAAAATGCTCTAAGAAGTTGGGTAGAAATATGCAACAAGAGAGCTGTAAGTCTAAATGCTGAAATTCTTAAGGAGAAAGCAAAAATTTTTGCAACAGAGCTTGGTTACCCAGAATTCATACCTTCCCACACATGGTTCACAAGATTTAAAACACGCTATCAGATTAAGTTGAGAAGAGCTCCTGGCGAGTCAAGCCTAGCTTCACATCTTGCCAAACAATGGAAGTTTTCTACCATGCCTCAGCTTCTAAAACAATACTCACCTGATGACATCTATAATGCAGATGAAACCGGATTATATTATCGTGCAACACCCAATGGATCACTTAATTTCAGAACTGATGCCTTGACAGGCTTCAAAAGTACAATGGATCATATAACAGTTCTGGTTTGTGCAAACATGTCTGGCTGTGACAAGAAAAAATTGTTGGTGATTGGCAAAATGGACAAATCTAGAAATATTACAGGGCTAAAAATGGAATCATTGCCTGTTGAGTATACATCAAATGAAAATGCATGCATGACTTCCAGCATATTCTCAGAATGGGTTACAAGATGGAATGCAGAACTTGTTGAATGTAACAGAAAAATTGTGCTCATTGTGGATAGTTGCACTGCTCACATGCACCTGCAGAACTTGTCAAATATTCAGCTGGAATTTTTGCCTCCTCTGACCACACCTCTTAGACAACCCATGGAAAGAGGCATAGTAAGAGACCTCAAGATGTTGTACCGCTCCTCTTTAGTGGAGTTCACTATGAAAGCTATTCAAAAGTCTCTGCTTAAGCCAGAATCAACTGCAAGACATGTCAGTTCAAAAATATCCATTTTGCATGCAGTTAGTTTACTAGCAGATAGTTGGTGCAGAGTCAAGAAGAGCACTATTGTTAATAGTTACAGAAATTGTGGCTTTAAGCTTCCCAATGAAAGTGATAACGTAAGTCTGGGCTCAGAAGGAAATGCCAGTTTTGACAAGGAGATTCTAAAAGTAACAAATTTTAAAGAATTCCTAGAGGTGGATGGAAAATTGTGCTGCTGTGTTGATGATGAAGATGACCTCGTGGCATTGATTGTCCAAAACATCAAGGAGCAATGCAGCACAATATCCAACACTCATGACAGACCAGGTCCTTGTATTGCCAGCATCAGCAATGCAGACACCAACGAGGAGGACTTTACAAAGGAAGGTGAGGATACTAGCCCTAGTTTAGAGTTGGACACTTGCTTTGCTTGAGTACTATTTAGTTTTCAGTTGACCGAACATTTTATTTACCTTCCTATTATTCTTGTGCAATTATTACTTGAGTATTTTCTTGGTATTGCATTAAATAATGTTAAAACAAGCCTAATAATAATTTGCAAGCAAAAGCCCTAATAAAATGTGAGGCAAAGTTTTTTTCTCCAAGACCATGCAGATTGCAGCCTACTCATCAATGTTACTAAAATGCACTGTAACTGCCACAATGATTAATTATTTCTATCTGTAACTCCAAGGATATGTTACAAACTTGCATACAAAGAGTACAACTTTTAAAGAAAACTGATGGCCAAAACACAGATTCTGAGCATTTACTCTGATGCAATCAATTGGTTTTCTCTTTTCTGTGTGTTATTTGATTGAAGTCGTGATAATTCCTCAAAACAATAAATAATATGCAGGTTTAGCAGCAAAGTAGATGTGGATGCTTTTTACTGGCACTCTATTGTCATAGTGAGAGCCTGAGAGGCCAATTTTACATGATGATTGGGATCCAATTGAGTTTTCAGTGGAATTCTTATAAATCTACTTTTATTTATTGTGAGCCTACCATGGATTTAGAGTGAATAATATTGGAGACTTTTGATATGAATACTTGATATATTTTCTATAGTATCTGTAAAAAATATTTTAAATGTATTGGTTTATTTCCATTAAATTTTTCAATAGGAATATTGGTCCTAGATATGACAATGCTCTTGAAATTTCTAAAATATGCCATTAGAGTTTTTATTCCTTATTCCAATTTTCATTCCTGCATTACATTCATCATCATGTGCAGTCCAAGAACATTGTTAGCTTTGCCCGACAACCATGATACATTGAGCTGTCACTGACTAGCACAATCAAGTTTCTTAAATATGTATATAGATAAAATGTACATAATGCAATCTTTAGAAATCATACAAAACTCTGTCAGTTAAGACAGAAGGTTTAATAATTATTTCTTTAATCACTTGTGTTATCTGAACTTTAGTTTGGATCTATCCTAAGTCCCAGATTTTTCTAGAGTTCACAGTAATGAAAATGTCACAATTTTGGGTGGCATATGAATTAACTTCTTTGAAACTGACTAACTGCAGGAAAGTCCTATATATATACATGTCATCAGTTGTTGGTTGAATACTATGTATAGTAGTATACATGTTGAATCATACATTGGTTGAAATAAAGGCTGTCAATAAAGAATGGTTTTACCTTAATACTATGTAATCTTGGGGCTGCTCTTTATCTTCAGTGCTGTTAATCAATATTATAGCTTAAAAATGAATAAAATACCAATGTTCTTCATAAATTATTTCCATGATCTTAATTGCATGTAAAACATAACCCATGTGGATGTCAAAAATTAATGTGGCAACTAAACTAATAGATGTGAAAGGTATATATTTCCCAGTAAATAGATTTTGGAACATGAAATTCTGGCCCTTGATTCTCTAAAACTTTTCTCTTTAAGGATTAGCTGCTGCTTAGGTTAATGGTCCAGGTTCCTTAATAGTGTTCTTAATCCTTAATATTGTTAGGCCTTTAATAGTACTGAGCATGAGTTTGCCAAGCTTGAGGAGCATATTTAGTTTAAGCATGGCAAGCTTTTGGCATTGTACAAGTTGAAAATATCATTTTTCCACTGGTTTAGTTTGACTTCAATGAGAGTATACTACCACAAAGAAGTAAAATGCACTTCCTGTCCTTATAGTATAATGCACTCGCAATATGCTTGCAAGTTGCCAATTCAAGTCTGCAGAACACTAAGGGACTGGAAAAATTGGTTTAGCTTCTGTGATTGTGATGGTATTTTTACAGTTAGTATTAATTAGATTCCTAACTTTAATAATTAATTGTGTGCAGGTGAAGAGGTTGTTATCTCATCACTACCGCCACAAATGTTAGAGGAATATTATGTCAAGGAGGAAGATCAAGATGCGGCTGACAACATATCTGTGAAAGAGGAGCCAATGTGCCTCAGCGGAAACCAGGTGATACTTTCACTTGTCATCTTCAATGTCAAACAACATATTTACTCAATGGTAGGCAAAATTTCTTTTTTGAGATTGTAAAGAATTTCTCCCTATGCAGTATGCAGAGAGTTATACTGATCGAGAAATTATTTCACAATGATTTAACAAGGACCAAAGCCAATGACGAATGGAAGTAGTTCTTTCATTAGTTCAGGCTGCAGTCCTTTACATCAAGGTAATCCGAAATTAGAAAAAGGTCAGCTTAATGGGGGCCAAGACTTGAAGTTTTGAGGATGACATACTGTGTAAAGAAATGTATAAAATTAAAATCATGGTGACACTAGAACACTGCTGTGAATATTTCAGAGTTTCAATATTGCATTAATTCCAGAGTAAAGCTCATCGTATTAAATTAAAATAAGTTTACATACAAGGTGCTTTCAGAAATGCTGTTTGATGGCAATAGGCAGATTTCCGTCCAATAATTTGTAGGCAGCTACATTAGATGTACCTGAAAACTGCAACTGTTACAAAGTTTACAGGGCGCCACTGTTTCAAATTTTAAATGCACCACAACATGTTTCAACACCTTGGCATTACAGGTTAAATTGAACAGTTTAAGTAGATTCAAAGACTTTAACATAACCCGCTAATCAAAGTAGACCCAAAGTTTAAGAAGAATTTACGGTTCTGGTCAAGTAAGGGTTTAGTATTTAGCAGATTTTTTGATACAGGGTAACTGACACTAAGTTTGATGGGCCTGCCAAAGCATTAGTAAGGAGGTGGAAAATGCATGCACCATCAACTAAAAAGAATAACTCAGCAAGGGTTGTGCACAATAAATTAAGACCTTGAGTAGAAATTTAGAAAAATATGGCGCAACACTATAAGTAATAAGTATAGAGGAAACTCATCTGACCATTTTTTGTACACTTTTTAGATTAGCTTATCCTTTATTAGAGAGCCGCTGCTCTATCTTATTAACACGAGCCCTCTCCGTTTTTCATTGTAAGCTTCACAAAGCCTGTTTGAAAAATTTTCTAACAGGATTTTAGATGCTATACAATGCAGTGATAATGTTCAAGAGTCTGAAACACTGGTTGAAAGATTTCCCTTGAAAGAATCATGCATGCTTCTACCCATTGTATGTAATAAAGCTGTAGCTAAATAGAATTTTTGCAAGTGATCTCAATGCCAACTGTTGTCACAGGTCTTGCCTGGTTCTGGTGGCGAGAGAGCGCAGCCTTCCATAACTGATCAGCTGCCTACGCTCAGCCTTCCTTGCCCCTCCGTCTGCAAGGAGGAGGTGAAGACTGAGGCTCCTGATGTCCTCCAACATCCCTCATATGATCCTCTAGAACATCCCTCACATGATGCCCTCAATCATCCCACACATGATCCCCTTAATCATGCCTCACACAAACACCACAAACATCCCTCACATGATGCCCTTCCACATCCCTCACATGATGCCCTTCCACATCCCTCACATGATGCTCTTCCACATCCCTCACATGACGCTCTTCCACATCCCTCACATGATGTTCTTCCACATCCTTCACATGATGTCCTTCTACAATCCTCACCTGATCCTCTCAATCATCCCTCATACGAACACCTTGAACATCCCTCACATGCTTTTCCACGTCCCTCGCAGAACATCACGACTGTGGTCTCCGAGGACCAGGTTAGTGGCGCCTTGCTTCATGCCCTCATGTTTGGTGTGGCAGCGCAAGTTTTATTTTCACTCATTGAGGTCTGCTGCCTAGCTTCTTCATCACGATTAAGCATGCCTGTCATGAACCAACTTGAAACTCTTGGTATGAAAAGCAAGGATTTACTTTTTTTCTAGCTTTACTGTACCGTGAAACAGCGGTGATGTTGTGGCCGCTCAGCAAATTGTTCAATCCTGATGGGGAGAATTTCCATGTTAACAAGTATAAGTTATCATTGAGAAGGCCAAAATTATCTGAATTAATAATAATTATGATTGCTCAATGATTAACTCTAAGCACCTTTATTTTTGAAGAAGTGAATTGACCCTTATTGGTTAACAAAAATTGATTATAGTTATAGAATTTTTGCTTTAGCATCTCAGGTTGTACTTGATGGAATTATAGATAGCTAGTGTTACCCAAAACATTTGTTGGAAGATAACATTCCATAGAATTTATGAAAACTCATGTAAATAAACGCATTATTTACCATATAAGACATTACCTTAGGACTACCTGGAAATGAAAATTTATACAGTGACCAAGCAAGGTTACACTGAGAGGTAATCATTAACTAAGATGTTATATAACAATAAAATTTATTTGCTTTTACTTTATTGTACCTCCCTCCACAGCTACAATTACCTCCACGTCTCGAGCAGCGCTTAGCCATCAAGTTCTGCATAGGGCTTGGCAAATCAGCTGAGGAGACGCTGGCCATGATACGACAGGTGTTCGGCAGCGAGAGCCTGCCAAGCAGCGCTGTTATGAGATGGCACAAGTTCTTCAGAGAGTGTGCACAGCTCAACAGCCGCTGACCATGATACGTGGCGCGTACGTCTTGGATCAATGTCCGTGTCAGAGGGAAGCCCAGCGATCAAGTGCTCTGTGGTGACAATGCAGCGCGCCTCACCCGATGCGTCGACAGATAACTCGCTAGTGTCAGCAATATTATTAATCGCGAGCTGATGACCGACATACGTGACTAAGTTCATGAGGGTACAGTCCCTGCTCCTCAGTATCCCTACAGTGCTTGCTCTCTGGCCTTCTTACCGACCAAGCTACAGCCCTCGCTGGCACAGCTGCCGGCTATCCTCGCTCCCCCAGCCATCTACAGTTCCCTCCAACAACCTCGGACATCGAAGCCCGAGACTATTTAATAAAAAAATCATTAATTTCCCTAGCTTGTCGGTCATAATTCCTCTTTACTTAGATCTACGTATGTTTTATCAATAATATTTATGCCCTGATGACTTACACTATTTTGGTTGCTTAGCCGAGGACATGTCAGAGTTCGAGTATATATCAGGTGGTGCGAGAACGATGTTTCGCTGGCTGTTTCCACTCCACTAAACTGTTCACTGACTAACACAATAAAAGCTAGTAGCAGTTTTCACACGCCACCCAGCGGCTAACCGTTCAAACAGCGCTCTTACTATATGCCCTTATTATCAGTACAGATAGAAATGCTGCGCAGCTAGCTAATTGTCGACTAATGCTAAGTCATATCAACGTATTCCATCCCCCTCAAGAGGACTTCCTACGCGTGTCTGTGCTCGTCAGAAGTCCTATGGTATTTCGCGCTACTAGGAGGATTGTTCCTGAGCGCCCCACCGCTGAGCAGGTCTCAGTTGTGGGGTTAAGTTATTATGCAGGTAGGATTCCTTACATTTAGTTATTATGTAGGTAGAATTCCTTACATTAAGTTATTATGTAGGCAGGTTTCCTTACATTAAGTTATTATGTAGGCAGGATTCTTTACATTTCCCTTCTGTCTCTCTCGTGCGGGCGGCAGACGTCCCGTGTAAGCGACCTTTTGTTCGAGTGTCTTAGTTTCTGTTGCTTTTCACCTATCTCTCCTTGTTACTTCGGCTCATTGAGATGCTAAAGCTGCTTCCTTCGAGCCATCTTCAGCGGGCTGGACATCTGAGACCTTACGCCCCTTGTGGGTGATGAATGATTTTTTGGTTTGAGAAACTTTCGATAACTGAGACCTTCCACCTCGTTGCTAATGTTCATCTTGACTTTCGGTGCGAGATAGCTAAATAGCTGAAGCGCTAGTAAACATCTGGCCACTAAACTAACTAACTCAACGTATCCCAGAAATGATCATCACCTCACCATTTAGATTGTTGGACGAGAGTATGAAGCCAGACAAGCTTAATTTTCAGCACTTTAATAACGTTCCACTCGTGGCAGTTTAGTTGTTCCTTTCATTATGTGAAGCCTAATTCAGATAATACGCACAACAACGAAGGTTCAAAAGCAATAATAAAAAAAATTATGTTGGGATATTTGTTCCGACCATATATTTTCCATTCATTATGGAAATTTTATTGATGCGCATTAATCGTGCTCACACGCGCGCTGTGTCTCAATTTATAGATGGTCAAACCTTTTTCTTGACAATTTGATCATTTTTATCGCTATTTAATTATGGTGAAGCCTGATGTGTGGTTTTGTACATCTTGTAATTTATATGTATATAATGGTGACATTTTTTTATTTGTATCCTCATTTTCATCCTTATGAGAAAGTCGGGCTAGTCTATTTTAGGGGAAGCAGTTGCCAATTAACCGGTCATGTAATTAATTAAGCCACAGTGCTCCTGGAAGGACAATTATGAACAATTCGCTTCCATGACATTACTTCGCCAAGAGGTCCCAAATCAATTGGCAAAAGAAAGCTCCTATGTTCATACATTAGGTATGAAGAGCATTCATATTAAAGTCAAATTGTCAATATCTAACATGAAAGTTCCGAAAGATTTGCTATACCGCGTGTCTGGCCCACACGACAATATCGTAGTGTCGCCGTTGAAGATCTGCCCTCGTCTGTCCTGTCGCTGATTCTAGGCGCCTCAGAATCGTCACCGCTAGTTGAGTCTCAAACCTGCAACACGCTGCTCCAATAATCGTGAGGTGAACCACTCTGCGCCCACGTTAAAAAGTTTGGAATTGATTGCTGATTCATAAGGTTTGTTCGAAACTATTTTTGTACGATGGCATCCTCTCCAAATCATTGTCATTGGAAATACACTCAGCGAGGAGATTGTATAGACATAACACAAAGAGCCCAGGCAGTAGGTGCCTCATTGCCGGTAGAACCACTTACGCATGCCATCCCTCCAGCGTGGTGCTCATGGTTCTGATAGTGCAGCAGGGGATCGACTTCGGTGAGCAAAAACTCTCATTTCGCCGATTGGCGAGAATGCATTTTCCACCTTCAGTAAGCAGCCTTTTCGAAGTCGTATCAGAATGTTGGCGATTATATGAAAAAGATTTTGCTCAGGATCGACCTCCTCCGCGTAGGAGCGGAGGCCGAAAATCTCATCCAAATTTGTAGTAGATCAAGAGATTTATCTGGGCAGCCGGGTATGAGGTTACTCTTCAATTGACAATTATATTGTACTTCAGTCCGAAAATTAAAAGTCCTAGTTATCCAGATCATGAAATTCCATAATTGTCGCTTTGAGATACAAGGGATAACGCAGCCAATCCTGAATGCAAGGTGCTGCGATCGCTTATCCTAGAAGAGTAAATATGGCCTTTTACATATGTATTTTTGGCGTTCAATTTCGCTTGTCATGCCGCCCCAGCCGTCGCTATCACTGCAGGGTAAATGGTAACGCATGACGTTCACTTTACCCCGCGCGTGTCAACTAAACATCATGCGGCGTCAGAGCTATCAGCGCGGGGTGAACAGTAACGCATGATGTAAAAACTGGCCCGGGGCGCGTGCGACATAATTTCTTAAGCACACGTCCGGCGGGGGCTTCAATAATATATTAATGGAAACGCACCACTGCCGGTTCACTTTATTGATAGCTTAGTTCTCATGCTAAAATTTTGTACTCCTATTCCAGAAATGCATTATAATTATCAATGTTTCACAAGCCGATTCAAAACCTCCTAACTACTGAATGTTTTTTCATATATAATTTATAATAATTTCGACCTTTTTGTTCGAATGGCGTTCAATCATTGATTAAATGACAGAGCTCAATTAAGCACTTCAAAAATATTTTATTGGTAACAACAATATTATTAAGGTATCGACTGACATCAAAATTTCCCGTATCAGAGAAACAGAGTTTTGGCGCAAGATACTAGATAATTCATCTAATATAATATTCTGTAAATTACATACATATTTTTACACAATCTAGCACGCTAATAACCAATTCATTGAAATTCATTTGACTTCGAGTACATTGTCCATTCGCTGTACGCCTCGGCATCCCGTCGACGCAAGTAAGTTTCCGCTGCAAATATTTTTATATAAGGCCGTGGACAACTCTTTTTTTTTTCTCTCATCTGCCGGACACCTCGGGAGCTGCATTAAATACTTTGAAATTTCGCAGTTAACACTAAGAAATTGTAATCAAATATATTCTTATTTTCTGAAGTCATGAAATGAAAAGAAGCTGAGCTTTAATTCTAACCCCTGACCTTGAGTGAATGAATTCTCACTTCCTGCTGCACGATTGAGAAACAATTAAAATAAAATGGCAGTTAAAATCCTTCTTTCGGTGGCACGAATAACTAACACTAGCCATAACATACGAGTTAAGACCACAGGATAGGAAACATATTTTTATGCATTTCTAAATTACTATTCAATTAATAGTGATTCTTTGCCTGAGCCCGCACTCTGCATCTTAAATTCATTCCAGCAATGAAAGCAAACATGAGGGCAAAAATATCGCCGCTTTCTGAGGTGTAAACGATCAATTTTCTTCTATTCGCCATATTATTTAGTCAGCTGGTGCTGGAAACCCACTGATCAGAGGTCCCACTAGACGTTAAGGATCTGGGAAGGGTTAAGCCTCAGGTCCTAAACACAGACGGGGCTACGTCCTCCGTTTTTAAGGACAGGAGGGTGGGGTTATGCCCTTAAAATTTATGATTTTATATAAATTGCTAATGACTGGTTTTATGACAATTTCTTTGAATTTATATTCAAGTCATATTATTTTGAATCTGTAGGCATTTTTGCATGGAAGTTATATATGGGAGCTCAAGAAATTTCAGGGGAACAGAAGCCGTGTACATTGTTTCGCTGGCAATAACTGGTTTCACAGATGCTTACATCGTTTCATTAATTCCTTAACATCTAAAATCTAAATTGATCAGCAATATCTTCAGAATAGTTTGATAACCCAGCTCCACTATGAATTTGGATTATAATAATAATAATATAAAAAAATTATTAGTAATTCATTTGTTTCGCTTCACAATTTTTTTCTGTTTTGTTATTGTTCTTATATTTAATATTAGCACTGATCTTAATTAGAGTATTCTTGTGTTAGCTTGTTAAATGTCTCACGTTTGTGAGAGGCTTTGAAAAAACATGTTGATAGTAAGCCGTTTATATATTGATCTCCTTGTTCAAATTGCGCAATAAATTATAATTTGTGTTCTCCTCTCCAATGTATTGAAGTTACATCAGTTGTACGTTTCAGTAGGACTATGCGTTCCTGAATAAAAGATTTATGGCGACATGTGAGATAACGTAGGTCATGACTATGTGAATGAATAAATATCTATGTGAGAGAACACTCATTATTTGTAAAGAAGATCAACACTATCATGAACGAAAAGAAACGTGGAGTTAATTATTTAATCGATTTAGTTAGAACTCGAACTAAACTTTACACGAAAATCTAAACAGCAACAATAAATTCGAGTTAATTGCGTGAATATGGCATCAGAATCGTTAACTAAACAGTCTCAACAAGCAGAGGTGGAGTGTTTGTCTTTTCAACGTCAACCGTCATGCCCCTCTGCTTGATCTTCCAGTAGCCCACTTGGATGGACTTCAAGGAGCCTTTGAGCATCAAAGCGGATCCGCGATTTTCTTCATCATTCCAGCTGTCCGTGGCAGAGGATCTCATTGAAGAGCTCCCTTCTGACACTTCAGCTCTTATTATATCCTGCAGGACGTTCGGTGTGTCAAGCCTGTAATTCTCAAGTTTTTTAAGTGTTGGATCAAATTCGCGCAAGCGATTAACGATCACTTGGTCTCGCAGCTGTATTTTCGAGAAAAAAGTTGACATTTGAGGTTCATTTTGAGATCCATCGTATGATCCAACTTCGTTCTCAAGGTGTGGTAAATCGCTTGTGGCCCTGCAAGTTTTGAAAGATGAATCACTATGATCTCTAAACAACTTATCACGAAATTTCTTACTGTTATTTCTTAACATAGTTATAACGTCTCCATGGACTCCCAAGTCACTGACTCCTACCAAACTAGATGATCCCCACAATTCGTGGTTTAAAGTATATGAGTCATTCAAATCCCCCGACATTTCTCCCAAAACGCTTCCGGTCGCTCGGTTTTCACTGCCTGATGAGACGTCGCTGGACGCTAAGTAGTGGTATAGCGCCGCATAATTCTCAATGTGCTCCTGACTCAAGATTAAGTCTGGCAGGCCATCGACGGCGTCATTTGTATTGAAGGCGACATCTAACATAGGACCAGCGGCTGACAGCGAATTCAGTGGTACAGCTGATGTAGAATTTTTTGGTGGTTGGTTTGCCCCAATCTGCAAAGGTACGACATGCGTTGTGTCAGGAAGTTCAATCGACCCTGGTTCTGTTAGAAAACTGTGTCGTCCTTGTGCGGAAGGCGTTGGATGCTGTTGATCAGCTTCAGGAAAGTTCTTGTTGCGAGTGTCTTGGGGTGTATCGTTTGGGGTTGGAGTAATGCCAGGCCGCTGTGGGTGCAGGCAGCTGGACGTAGCTTGGGAGTCCGCGAGTTCCTATTCTTCTGAGGTTCTAACTTCTTGCAACCTAACGTTGACTCTTTTGGAGCGCCACCGCCGTACGAGTAGCAGCACCACGGCAATAATGAGCGCCAGGAGCGCGATCACTGCAATCACGATACCCGCGATGGCGCCGGCTTCCAGCTCAAAAAAACCTGCAAACAAGAAGCACTCCATGAATTTTCTTCAGCGTTTGGATGTACGAAGGGCGTTCATATTACGGTATGGTGATTTAATGTACGAAATCTTTCTAATTCTACTCAGTCGGCAGTAAACTCCCCCCCCAATCTTTTTTATTTATTTCCCTTCAACATTCCCGAGATACGGGAAGATTGAGGGCTCACACTGTTACTTTTGTTGAGGTCTCCTTTGTCATCAAGTATCTCACCATTACTGCCGATGGCACGCTGCTCACTGTTGCCATTCACGTCCGTGGCGTAGACCATAAGTAGGGGGTCACAGCAGGAGGCTGTGTATTGCAGGGTCACTTGCCGGGTCATGGGTGGGAAAAGAGGCACGCTGGTGTAAGGGGTGGTGGTAACGGTCTGCAGGCCTGTGAGGGGACCAACGAGATACACTAAAACACTGCTAAAGTATGGACCATCTCGTAAGATTAAACATTTATACGGGACCAGCATATTGATGAAGTAACTTTGTTGTTATTAATACTAATGAGTGAAACGCTATTAATGTTATCATGCATTATAAGTTAACGTTTGAATGCAGAAATTAGTTTAACGTTTAAATGCAGAAACTATTCAGGTTCAAAAAAACATTATAAGCTTTAGAAAGAGTTAATTATTTTTAGGTAAAGGCTACCAAGGAGAAAGAGGTTTTCAGTTTTTTAAAGGTTAAGGTTACCAGCTTTCAAAAAGGTTATCTTCACAATTCTACGTCATCAAGAACCCACCGATGCCATAGTCGGCGACGACGATGGTGGCGCTCCAGCGTTCGTGGTCGCAGGTATGGCGCCGTAGGTTCTCGTAGTCACATTCGGTGTAGGTCTGCGTGTAGATTGTGGGCGAGGTGCGGTCGGTCAACTGAGCACAAGGAATGAGTTGGGGTTAGTCTTATTAGGACAAATAAAGAGGATGTGAATGAAAATAATAAACATGACTGTTAAGGTAAACTGTAGTCTTAAAACTATTATATAATATTTATAAGTCAATTTTGTCTCCTACTCTTAATGATTCTGTATAGAAGCTCTCCCTGATGGGTGGGTGCCAGCCCTCGGGTTGGTAGGAGTCAGGGTTAGTCCGGTGGGTCCAAGGGTTAGTATCAACATATCGCTTCATTCTGGTTGGGGTTAGTAAAGCAAGCAATTAGAGTTAGACACAACCTCAAGCCATGTGTGGTAAGAAAATTACACAAGAATATTATATGAGAAAACATAGTTTAAATTTATAGATAAGCAACGATACTTAACGAGATTTCTCATCTGATAGCGCTCTAGATGGAAAATTTAACCTACCTGCTTAATTAAGGAGTAAGGTTGTTTGATGGTGGAGGTGGCAGGAAGTGATAGAAACTTTAACTTGCCTGCTTAATAAGTAAGGTTGTTTGGTGACGTAGGTGGCAGGAAGTGGTAGAAAGTTTAAGTTACCTGTTTTGGGAGTAATGTGATAAGTGCCGTATGTAGCAGGTAGTGGTAGAATGGTTTAACTTGCCTGTTTTGGGAGTAATGTGATAAGTGCCGTATGTAGCAGGTGGTGGTAGAATTGTTTAACTTGCCTGTTTTGGGAGTAATGTAGGTGAGTGGCTGCAGGTAGTGGTAGATAGTTTAACTTGCCTGTTTTGGGAGTAATGTTGGTAGGTGGAGGAGGTGGCAAGTAGTAGATCCTCGTGACCGTTAGCTCTCGGTTGCCGTACCAGAGCCGGCAACGATCCTCCCACCACGTGAACAGCCGCCAGCATAAGAAGTTGCACTAACATCTTTGTGGCCACACACCAGAGAAGTTTGGCAGCTAACTTTTTTATTAATTGATGGCAAAACGTGGTCGATGACTTCCTAGATAACTTGATGGATAGATAACACTCTCGATAACTTGGTAAATGACTTGGTTTATAATCCTCTGGATAATTTGTTGAGTAGCCGCAAATATTAGCAGTATATAGTTGATTTTTGAGCCTCTGTTGGCAGTGACACAAGGATTGGCACTGGTCTTGGCACTGACACTGACCTTGTATATGCGGTAATTTTTACGGTGGATGGTATAATAATGTCGAATCCTGTTTGAGGGATTAGAGGGTTGAAGAAGAGAGGGCAAACGAGAAAAACGGGTATATTAGGTAATATGGTATTATAGGGTATATTCAGCCCACACCAACTGGCTATACAGTGTGGCGCTGGTAGGGTATATGCAGTATGGATACACACACCAGCAATAAGTAAGGTATATTCAACCCACTGGAATAAACTGCCAGCCCAGCACGTGAGTGACATAATCAAGCCACCGGAACTACAGTCCATTAGCCCAGGTCTCGTGGTTATGCTAATGCCGCTAATGGTTTACCTAATTAATATTCATTAGGAGCTCATTAATTAAGTCACGACCAACACTGATTTGGGAGGCGATAATGCACTGCCATGTACCGGTATCGTGTAACGTGTACCGGTACATGTAACGTGTACCGGTACATGTAACGTGTACCGGTACATGTAACGTGTACCAGTACATGTAACGTGTACCAGCACCTGTAACGTGTACCGGTACATGTAACGTGTACCAGTACATGTAACGTGTACCAGTAACATGTAACGTGTACCGGTACATGTAACGTGTACCAGCACCTGTAACGTGTACCGGTACATGTAACGTGTACCGGTACACGTAACGTGTACCAGCACCTGTAACGTGTACCGGTACAGGTAACGTGTACCAGCACCTGTAACGTGTACCGGTACATGTAACGTGTACCGGTACTTATGACGTGTACCGGCACATATAACGTGTACTGGTACCTGTAACGTGTCTCGGTACCTGTAACGTGTAGCGGTACCTATAACGTGTACCGGTACCTGTAACGTGTACCGGTACATGTAACGTGTACCGGTACATGTAACGTGTACCGGTGCTTATGACGTGTACCGGTACCTATAACGTGTACCGGTACATGTAACGTGTACCGGTACCTATAACGCGTATCGGTACCTGTAACGTGTAGCGGTACCTATAACGTGTACCGGTACCTGTAACGTGTACCGGTACATGTAACGTGTACCGTTTACTGGTACCTGTAACTATTACGTTTACCGGTACCTGTAACGTAGACCGGTACCTATACCGAGTACCGGTACCTGTTACGTGTACCGGCACCTGTAACGTGTATCGGATCCTGCAACGTGAAACGGTACATGTAACGTGTACCGGTACCTTTAACGTGTACCGGTGCCTATAACGTTTACCGGTACCTGTAACGCATACCAGTACCTGTAACACGTACCGGTACATGTAACGTGTACCGGTAACTGCAACGTTTACCGGTAGCTGTAACGCATACCGGTACCTGTAACAAGTATCGGTACATGTAACGTGTACCGGTAACTGCAACGTGTACCGGTAGCTGTAACGCATACCGGTACCTGTAACGCATACCGGTACCTGTAAGGCGTACCGGTACATGTAACGTGTATCGGTAACTGCAACGTGTACCGGTACCTGTAACGCGTACCGGTGCTTGTAAGGTGTACCGGTGCCTGTAATGTGTACCGGTGCCTGTAAGGTGTACCGGTATCTGTAACGTGTACTGGTGCCTGTAGGGTGTACCGGTGCCTGTAGGGTGTACCGGTGCCTGTAGGGTGTACCGGTGCCTGTAGGGTGTACCGGTGCCTGTAGGGTGTACCGGTGCCTGTAGGGTGTACCGGTGCCTGTAGGGTGTACCGGTGCCTGTAGGGTGCACCGGTGCCTGTAGGGTGTACCGGTGCCTGTAGGGTGTACCGGTGCCTGTAAGGTGTACCTGTGCCTGTAGGGTGTACCGGTCCCAACGTTTACCGATGGTTGTCGCCACGTATGCCGCACAGATAATCCTAGGTAAGAAAGCACCACCAACATCAGAATCAAGTATTAATCATTCTTCCTGACCGTTCGCACTGGCGGAGAGGGCACGACACACCCAACACGGTGCGCTGCATGAGCGCTTGTGGTTGAGGTCACGCAAACACCGCCTTATATACGCTCGCTGCTTCAGATCCTGTCTGAATCTTTGCTATCACGCAAAAAATGGCCAATCACTATCCACCCTTGCCTGCTTTCCAGCCAATCATAAATGAGACACGTTCATTAGAGTCCCCTTGCATAGTCAGAGACTGCGTCACAGTAATGGATTAAGGCTGGCTTGAATTGAAGCTAAAGCCTGCACTAAGCGGCTGATCGATATCATTGAATTTTTTAGCTTTGGATTGTTTAATAAGCAGCAGAACAAAAAAATAAATGAATATTATATCACATATACAATAAAATCACAAGTCACATAGTTTCTCTCATATAGGGGATATATACACGGTTACAACGAGAGGGTGATAGTGTCGAAGTCGACAATGGAAAAAGATTTAGGAGTTAATATCGACAATGAGTCGAAATTTTTCTATGCATATTGAAGGTCATGTTAATAAAGCCAATAAACGACATAACATAACATGGCGATGTCGGCGCCGAGGAGTAGGTCTGATGTGGCCTATCGCCTATTCATACTTTTTGTGACTTGTTCACAGAAGATCTAAAATCGTGACATTTGACCGGATCTTTCAGGACTGACAATAATTTGAAATAGCTACTAGACTTCTACCGGGTTCGATATGGGGCTAGGCATTTCAAATATGAACATCTAATATATTTTCCTCCATCAGACTGATCAGACGGTCTTTCAAGTTCCTAGATGCAGAAGCGATGAAGCAGTTGTTTCTTGCTGTCGTTCGCCCGAACCCAGAGTTTGGAAACGTCGTGTGGTCATCGAAACACGAAAAGAACAAAAAGTTAGCCGAAAGTGTACAAAGACGTGCAACAAGGATAATTCCGAGCATGAAAGGCAAGTTCTATGAGGAAATATTAAAGATTATGACGCTTCTAAGCCTCAGTTATCGACGTATGCGTGGTGACCTCATTAATGTATACAAGGATACTCATGGTTTATACAGGGTGCGGCGTGGGAACTTACTCTTTTAAAAAAATCACAAAGTAAAAAGTATTAAAGATAGCGTTTTAATTCTTTCTTTTTTACAAAGAGCTACATTTAAAGTTTCGTTGGGTTTACTTACAAGTTTAATTCTTGAATATTACATCTTGTAGGTGACCTCCATGCTGTTCACTGGGTTGCAACGATAGACCGGCCACTAGAAAAGTACACAGAGACTGCGAACGCGCGCTCCTCTCTCGACCACTGCATGGTCGCAACTGAACTGAGTGGACGAAAAACTTCATAGCCCGCGCACCATATTGCGCATGGCGCCACCTTCCTAGGACTAATGGCCGCCACGTGGCGCGCAATTCAAATAAGTAAGTTCCCGCGCCGCACCCTGACAAGGTCCCAGAAGGATTACTAGAATTTGAAAAAAGAACCAACACTAGGGGCCACTGCAATAAACTAAAAAAACTGTGTTGTAACACATCCATTCGGCAACATTTCTTCCCGCTTCGAGTCACCGACATGTGGAACAGCCTCCCTGATAGCATCGTTGACGCTCCGAGTATGAACGCATTCAAAAACAGACAGACGAAGCTATGCAGGAGCATATGTTCAGTATTGAAATGCCTAGCACCTTACGGACCAGACAACAAGTCCAGCAGCTATCTCGGCCAATCTTCAGTTATGAATAGATCGGGTTCCAAAGGCCGGATCCCTTGTGAATCAAGTCACGAAAAATACAAGAATCGGCAACAGGCCTTGGGCCTATTTCTTCAGTGCCGACACTTCAATTCTATTCTATATTCTTTAGCTAAAACTCATCTGGTGCGATGCGCACTCAAGTGATTTCGGAGAGATGCTGCCTTAAACTTACAGCTCAATTTTACTACGCTCAAAACCCAATCAAGATATTAGAGCGCAGACACTTTAGCAAATTTTGAGCATAGGTATTTGTCAACACATAACTTATATTGAAGTTTTAACGAATAATGATGTTTGTTGTGATATTTATAAATTTTAAAATCGTTTTATCGATGCAAGTGTATTATTTCAACCTTGGATGAACAGATCATTCATTATATAAAATAATAAAATTGGCGGAAACTGACACATTTGCCAAATTAATCCGCATTTCTTACTGGATCCAACGTAGAAAAAGAAGAATTTAAAAGTCA